AAATCTCCAAGTAGTTGCTCTGCATGCAGTTGAGACCTTATTAAGGAGCCCCGCCCCAGAGAGATGGATGTCTAGCGCCTGCATTACCCAGTACCAGGTGTTACTGCTAGACCCACCACGAGTCAGCTTCCTGAAAACGGCTGCTTTGAACCCGGCCACACTTCTCCCTGACGAGGAGGCAGAGCCCTCTTTGCATGACTGCGAGGAGACACTGACTACCCTCACTTCCCTCCGAGAGGACCTTGTGAACCAGGCCCTGCAGAACCCAGATGAGACCCTCTACACGGACAGGAGCAGCTTCGTAGAGGAAGGTACCCGGTATGCGGGGGCGGCAGTGGTGACACAAAAGGAGGTTCTCTGGTCACAGGCCTTAGGACGAGGCACCTCAGCCCAAAAGGCAGAACTCATAGCACTCACTCAGGCCCTCCGGTGGGGAAAAGGAAAAAGAGAGAACATTTTCACAGATAGTCGGTATGCTTTCGCCACTGTACACGTGCATGGGGCCCTATATCAGGAAAGAGGCCTTCTGACCTCAGGAGGAAAGGACATTAAAAACGCTTCTGAGATACTTAACCTCCTGGCAGCCATATGGGGGCCAAAGGAAGTGGCAGTAATTCATTGCCGGGGGCACCAGAAGGGTGATAGTCCCGAAGCACAGGGAAATCGACTTGCAGACCAAACCGCCAAGGACGTGGCTAAAAGAACAGTAGGGCCCCTAGAAGTTCTCGTAGCCTTGCCAGCGCGAAGGCTCCCAGAAATGCCTACTTATCTGCCAGAGGAGCAGAGGCTAGCTGTGAAACTAGGGGCCTGGGAAGGAGAGGCTGGATGGCTAATTCTGACAGACGGGAGGCCTGTAGTGCCAGAAGCCCTGGGGCGGACCATCGCTTCCCAGACCCACGAGAGTACCCACCTGGAGGGAACGAAGCTATCAGAACTATTGGGAAGAGAATTTTACATCCCAGGGCTCCAGAAAATATCCCAAGACTTGGCTAGAAGGTGCCAAGTGTGTGCCCAGATGAACCAAGGGCCCCCTGTTGTGGCTACACCAGGGCAGCGATTCCAAGGTCAAAACCCCAGGGAACACTGGGAAGTGGACTTCACCAAAATACCAGGAGGACAAGAGGGTATAAGTACCTGCTGGTTTTCATTGATACCTTCTCTGGCTGGCCTGAGGCATACCCAACCAAGGCAGAGACAGCACAGGTAGTAGTTAGGAAACTCCTCACTGAAATTGTCCCCCGGTTTAGCCTACCACTATATATGGGGTCCGATGATGGCCCGGCGTTTATCGCCAAAGTTACAATCCATAGTTAAGGCCCTAAGAGTTACTTGGAAATTACATTGTGTTTATAGACCACAGAGACCACAGGTAGAGAGGATGAATCGGACCTTAAAGGAAACATTAACTAAATTAAAATTAGAGACTGGCGAAAACTGGGTAAGTCTCCTTCCTTTTGCCCTCCTCAGAGCTAGGTGTACCCCGTATATAAAAGGACTCACCCCTTTTGAAATTATGTTTGGCAGGCCACCACCTCTTCTTCCCCGCCTGAGGGAGGAAGAAATTGCCCGGCTGTCTACCCGAAATTTGCTTAAGTCCTTACAGGCTTTGCAGAGCAGCACCACATCAGCACAACAGGTGGTAAGAGCCATACAGGAAGAGGACGTGCTGAGATCCAGTCAAACACAGCCTGACTTCTCTCTGGGTGATCTCATCTGGGTGAAGCGCCACGACCCTAGCAGCCTACAACCTAGATGGGATGGACCCTACGAGGTGGTGGTGCTGACTGAGCACTCCAACCGCCATCAAAATTGCAAGAAAGAGGCACTAAATTGAACCCCGTCCTCCTCATGCCTCTCACCTGGTGAACTGACCAATGGAAAGGAGAAAGACATGGAAACTAAGACTCTATGTCAGTGGCCGAGCCAATTCTTCACCATCAAATGCCGGACTCTTCCCCAATGGCTCAACCCCTACATTGCCAAATGCTTGTGAATTTCATATCGTAGAGAAGGGCACTGAATCAAAGATTTGATTCGGGCATAAGACCAGTAGGGAATGTGCTAGGGGGAGCAAATGAAACATGAGAAACTTACGGAATGTGCTGGGAGGAGGGACTGAGGTATGGAAAGGGATTGTGTTAGGGTCAGAGACCTTGGAAGAAAAATTACTAGATTGTCTTAGAAAAACAAGGTGTTATGATATGCTCCAGCCAGGTGTGACTCCTTTTACCTTCCCTTTGTACTTATGACCTTTTT